GAAGGCTGCAATGTCCCCCCCGCTCCTTCTCGTGACTGCCCCTCTGGCCTCTGCACCCACCAGAGTGCTGCCAGCCTGCCACGGCAGCTGCCCCTTGCTGTGCCCTGTCCCCTCACGGGAACGCCCAGCCCAGCCGCCCCTGGGAGCTGCTGCCCCCGTCCTTCATCCCAAATGGCAGACATTTCTGTGGGGTAGGAGAGGGGGAAGGATGCCCCTGTCCCTATCTGAGGCACACCCTGAATGCTGCTTGCGGCATGATGGCAGAGGATGCAGCACCTGAGGACAACTGAAGTCCCCCTGGAATTTTGAGGGCTTATCCTGTGAGGTGCTGAGCACCTCACAGGATGGGGGTTCCCTTCTCTCCAGCTACTTCTTCCTCACTTCCACCATCACCACCAACACAGCAGCTACCCCTCCTTCATTCACAGACTTGTTTCAGGGCTGGTGCCACAAGGTCCATGCTCCTCACCCTGCCCCACAGCACAGCTAGATATGCTGCAAAATCCACTCCTCCCTGCCCCCCCAGCACCAGAGTGGGGCACACTTCTTGTGCCAGCCTCACTGGGGCAGGGATAGCCTTGGGCTGAGGGGTGGCACCACATTACCTCATGCACTTGGATCAGGAGGCAAAGTCCCTGATCAGAGGTCGGCCACAATCACACCTGGGCTTTGCAAGCCAGGGAAAGTCCATGGTGTGCAAGATGAGCAAGGTAGGGATGAGGGCAGGGGCTCAGCCTGGGGACCAGGGCACAAGAAGCCTTTCCCCCTCTGCCCTGGGCACCTCAGTGAAAAGCAGAGAGGGGTTTGCTGCAGCCTCACTGCTCCCATGTCCAAGCCGCTGTCCGCCACACCCCACAGAGCACGTGGGCTTGACATGGGGAGACACATCCAAAGCGTTTCTCCAGCTGTGAAAAGGGACCACCAGAAAGGCTGGGAAAATACCTTCTGCTGCCCGCAGCGAACACCTCAGCTGTGAACTGTAAAGTCAGCCTGGTTCCGCTCCAGGCTGCCTAAACACCAGCCCAGACCCCCTGAGTGCCTTCTCCGTCATATCTGCAGGATCACAGCTGCTAAGGAAGTTACAGCCCTCCCATCCCCTCTCTGGGAAGCCACTACTCTGTCCCAGTTTGACCCATGTCACTGCGGCCTTGCCTAATCTCATTTGCACACGGGGGAGCCCTTGTAATCCACAGATCTGCATTCATGCCAGGTAAAGTACAATCAACCTTTAGGCCATTGCTGTTTCCTGGGAAAATACAGGATTAACAGGGCCAAGTAATGGGAAATCCAAATGGCCCGTTTTAGAAACTGTCTGCTACAAAAAAGGCTCTGGAGGGGAAGATAATATTTGGATGGCTGTGGAGTCTTTTTCAAATTCATCAACCATAAAACACAGGGAAGCAAGACAGTGTATATACATACCATTTTGGCTGGTCCGTCACTTTTCCCACAGTCCTGCTCATCCTCAGAAAACCCCATGTGATCAGTGCCAAGACCCATCACAGATTTTTGTGGGGTGCACTGATCATTTGGCAAAGCCTTCGAGCCTCCTGTGATATGCAGAGGAAAGCTTCAGACTGACTCACACAAGTCTCAGCACCCCACTGGACAGAGAAGGATGCCACTACAGTTCTCAAAAATGTCATTCAGTTCACCTCCTGACCCACAAGCCCTTCTGGCAATTATGGTGTCTGTACGATACCACAGGAATCAGGATCCTGGGCAGTACACCCCGAAACCCTCCCCAACCTTCTGCAAAGAGCAGAACTTACCTCCAAACATCCTGAGATGTGGGACTCTCCCCATTGGGATGTCTCATGGTTCCCCTGCACATTGTCACAGCTGGAGACTTCCTGGGCACCTTCTGCAATGAAGAAGGCCGTCAGGTGGTGAGGCTGTGTGTCCTAGCTCTGCACTCACCACTGTGCTCTATCGAATGTACATGGGCAAGAGCTGATGGTGCCTCACTGAGGAAGGTCCAGTGCATCTGCCTGCAGGATGGGTGACCCCCTCACCACACGCAGAGCTTGGCAGCAGCCCCAGCATAACTGGGTGCAAAGCCATAAGACAGTGGTTTGGTTTTTCCTGGGAATCAACCTGGTGCCCATAGGAGCTAGCAGTCCCCCAGCAAAGCACAAGGACTTCCAACAGGGACCCCAGTTCATCTTCCAGGAAGGTGTAGGGAGGTGACATCTTCTGCTTGCTGGTGGTGAAGGCACAGTGGGGATGATGCCACACCATGCTGCCCATGGGCAGAACACCCACTTCTACTGGGCATCTCTCCCTGTGTTGGTTCATTAATTTGTTTTTCATTTTCTCCCTGCTCCCCCTTCTTCCTCCTCCTTCCTTCCCCCTAATCCATGAACAAGACTCTCAGAGCTAGAAGAGAGGAGAAAACCAGCACAGCTGCAGATTGGATCAGCGGCGTGCTGGCAGGCAGGCGCGCACAGCTGGGAGAGGGGAGCACGCTCTCACACACACAAAGCAGCACCAAATGGAGTGCGTGGAAGAAGGCCAGGGGAGGCCAGTGACTCCCATCCCTGGCCTCCATCAGCTTTGAACCGAGGAACACCAGTAGGTGACCAAGGCTGGCAGGAGATACCACAGGCTGGAGCCATGCTGAGCACTCACAAGCCACCCAAGCAAAGGATGGACAAACTCTCCTGACCTTGGAGGCTGCTTATGACATCATGGTGGCAGCCAGATGCAAAGCACCACATTATCTTCTGTGGATCTGAGTCTAAATATTTATTTCCTTGTCCAGGCCCTGACACGTCCCTCCTTTTTTATTTGTTTGTCAAAAGCATCCATATCACCAGTGGCAAGAAATACTTATATGGGAGAGAGATGCCACAGACTCAGCATATGGGCAGAAAGGAAAGCATGGTTTGCTCCTCATTGAGCACCCAGGAGATGTGGAGAGCCCTTCCCATGGCAGAGATGGAGAGTAAGGAGGCTGCTGTGAAAGTTGCAGCTGCACCAGGAGTTCCTGCTCTCCACCTCTTGGGTTATTCTCTCCCCTCCCCAAACACCCCAGTGACACAGCAGGGCCCGGGATGACTGCCAGATTCTCCTTGCTCGGAGGTTATTTAGTCTCCCAGAGAGGAAAAAGAATGTGCATGGGAAACTGTCAGCAGGGCAAAACCAGTGCCTCTGAGGACAGCACCTTCGCAAAGGGCTTGCCAGCCCTGTCTGCACCCACTGCAGCACCACCACAGCAGGGTCAGCTTTTTGCCTTCCTTGTCTTCTGTGACAGCAGTGGCCTGTGCCAGGGCACAGCAGTGGTGCAGGAGAGAGAGGAGGGAACAGGGCCGTGAGCTGATGCAGCATCTGCACACCACCATTCAGAGCTGCCATGAGGTGTAGTTTTGAGGTAGCTGGAAAGCACTGGTATAAGCTGAGCAACTCTACTGTGCCTAAGAAATCATACTATCTGCACACCAAATGCCATCTCCAAACCAGGCCATACCACTCACAGCTTAAAGATGGGGCACTGTTATTCTGGCTTGAAGGAGAAAGAAAATGAAGGCAAAAAAGGATGCAAGTTTAAGTTTTCTTCACCCTGACCAAACACTATCACCATTCCAGGAGATCTATGAAAGCAACGACACAAGGGACAGGCATTGCAGGTAAGTCTGCTCCTTCCCAGCGCTGTGGACCTGCAGTCACTCTTCCTATGCCAAGCGCTGTTATTCAGCTGGTTTTAACTAGGCCATGCTAAAATGTTTGGGTTGAACTTCATCTTGCTGGTTAGCTGCCTAATGATGAAGTATCTAAGCAAATAGAGTTATAAAATATATAATTTCAGCCAAAATGATTCATCTACTTCCAAGAACATTGTAAGGGGAAATGCTTTGGTTTCTCTTGCTTTTGTTACAGAGAAATCTGATGACCTTTTCTTTGAAGAGCTCTTCAAGCTGCATGTTTTTGGCATGCAGACTTGAAGTTTGGCAAAAGGAGAAGCAGGGAAGGCCTTTGGTTTTGTCCAGATGCACCCTTTGCTGCTGCCAAACTTAGCCAAGTCTTTGAAATGTTCCGTTTCACATGTGCTCCCTTAAGGCAGTCTTGTAGAGCTTACCGGCCGAATTCCCTGAAACTCTTCCCCTTTCAGGATGCGGTCCAGCCAGGGGCTGAGCAGGATTTCCAGAGAAGCAAAGCTGTGGATCGCTGCAATCCAAATCACAAGTCCGTTCCATCCCTGAGACTAGGCAGCTCCTGCCACCTCACACGCTCCATCCTGGCTCAGACAGAATGAGCAATGCATGCACAGGCATTTGGGGAAAGGCGCTGACTGACCAAGAGACAAACCCAGGAACTGCTATGAAGAGGGAGGATTTGGGATGGGAATTTGACTGAAGGGAAACTGGACTGAATCTAGGAGGGAAAATGAAGGTGAACCTCCATGAGGACTCTGCATGAAGAAATGCAACCAACTGAGAGCACAGGACAGTGATGCAGAGGATCCTGCAAGGCTGCAGCCCTGGAGAGAGCTGAAGTATTCCAAGAAGAAATAAGGAGAGGGCCAGGAGGAGGGGACAGCCAGCTGCAGAATGTTACCTGCAATAAATGAGGCAAATACTCATTTAAACCAAGAGGTGTTGGACAGCATTGCAGGCAGAGGTGACAGCCAAAAGGTGTGCAGGGAGCATAAGAGCTGACTTTGGAGATGTCAGAACAAGACCACACCTGCAAAAAGGTTTCTTTTAACAGGAGGTATGGAAGGGCAGCTGCATGTCATGGAAATACACTGTGAGTGCTCATGCTGGTACGGGGTGAATCAGTCCTGCACCATGATGCCCTGATAGTGGAAACCAACAGAGCCCTTTAAGAGTGAGCTGAGAGTCTACTAGAGGTGTGCAGGCTCCCCTCTCGGAAGACAGAGGAGGGAATTCACCAGAAAGTAATAGACTGGAAACCAGGACACTGCTCCCAAACAGGGAGGAACACATCCTGCACGCTGTGGTGCAAATGAAACACTCCAATGTGTCTGAGGCTCAGAATAGCACTATTTGTTTATTTATTTATTTTCATTGTGATGGCTCTGGTTTTGCTTGGAAGCAGCTGCACTGAAGTCTTCACAGCTCTGAGGTCTCCAACCTCAGCTGTAGCCCAAAGGAGGGCAGAAGGTTTGGAGATCATCCAAGAAAACATTTGAAGCTTGTGAGCCTTGCTTTCCACTAGTATTAGGAGTCCCCTTCACAGTCATACTTCATTAGCTGTAGGAACCAGTGCAAACAGACATTAGCCTTTCATGGAACCACTGTTCTCCATGGATGAGCAGTCAACACTACCAGTCTCTGCTTTTGCTTTGTTTTTCCCTTAAGGAGGAAAATTTTCCTACCACTTTCTTGAAAATAAAGAAATGCAAAAGCAACACACATTAAAAAAAAAAAAAAAAAAAAAAAAAAAAAAAAAAAGCAGTGCTTACCCTCATAAAGCAGCAAAGCCTTTTCATTTTTCTCCCAGAATCCCACAGGAAGCCCAGAACAAATCCAGTCACTTTTTCTTAGGAAGCACATCTCCTCTTCCTGGTCTCATACCTAGGTAAGAGCAGAAAGTCTGTATTCAGGCTGTGTCAGCAGCATGGGGGTGGCTCATCCATCTTCCAGCCAAGGTGCCAGCCAGTGACTCATTCGCTACGGAAATCAGGGCACATGAAGCAGAAGAATGGAGAAAGCAGTGGTCCATGTCATTCCAAGTGCGTCACTTTGCCAGGAGATGGGGTCACAGGTTTTGGCAGGCCTGATGGGCAGAGCTGGACCTCAAGCTGTGGGGAAAATTTTGAGGAAATTTTGTGCATGGCCATTGGGAAAGGGAGCATCGGTGGGCAGCTCTCCCCTGAAAGGCTTTCTGTATGGAGTGGCTGGAGAGTATCTCTTGGAGCTTTCTCTTTGTATGAGAATATCTTGAGTCAGAAGGGACACACAAGGATCATTGAGTCCAAATTATAACTAAGTGTTGAGCATTTAATTTTTTATTCTGCTGTAATTCCCTGCATTCTGCAGGGAGCTTTTACTTTTTAACACAAACCTGAACTCCTGAAAGCTGGGCAGTCTGGCAAAATGCCCTCCCTCCCCCAGGCCTTCACTATGAAGAACAAGGGCTGCCTCCTGGTCCCCAAGTCCTGCCCTGCCAGACACTACCCTGCCATGGAGACTCCCATTCAGCACCACGGTCACACCACTGCATTTTGTTAGCAGGGCATTGTGACACACAGGGGGATCAGTGGTCCAGCTAGGGTGCTGAGCCTGCAAAAGGGCAAGACAGTCATGAGCTACCTGGACTCTAGCTCCCAGGAGACAGAGCAGCATCGATAACCAGGTCTGTGTTTTAACCTCTCTCTCTAGAGGAAGGCTGGGCAGGCCCGGGGTAGTCCTCAGGAACTGCACAACCCAAGTGGCTTTCACAGGAGAATTTGGCATCAGAAGAAGATTTGGCATCAGAGAATTTGGCATCAGAGATTTGGCTGCTGAAGTCCCTCTGCCCTCAACTTCTCCTCCACAGGCTGGCTCCTGCCAGCTGTTTCTCCGGCTTTTCACCACAGCACTTTCAGTTTTGGCCAAGCCAAAAAATAAGCCTTTCCAGCCTCAAAGCTGGAAATCTGCTGAGAGGAGCTAGACTTCACCAGAGATCATTTGCCTCACAAATTGATCTGAGAGCTCCTCCAAGGGGCAACAGCACTGCTAACCCACCATTTCTCTTTCCCTGCATATCCGCAGGTGTCTGCAGAACTGTCAGACCTATGATGCTCAGCAACCTCAGGCGTCTGCTCCACTTTCTCTGGGAGAGACAGCCAGGACACTTAGCTGAGCTCGAGCAGCTCCCACGCAGCGGGCCAGCGCTCAGTGCCAGGGGATGTGTGTGCAGAGCCAGCCGGAGGTAGAATTTGAGCCTGCTTTCTCTGAGACAGTCAGGGCCAAGTCCAGAGGAAAAGGCGAAGAAAGGCTTTGCTGTCAGAGTCAGGGTTTACAACCAGCCGTAAATGGCCTCGGTCCCTAAAGTTCCCATGGTGACAGTCCTGATGGGAACAGAGCTGTCTCCTCTGTCCAGTCCCCACCAGCCCTTCCCAGGTCAGGGGGTGCAGCTGCCTAGCACAGCCTGGGTGAGCTCACCCAACTCCTGTACCCCTGAGATGGGGAGCGAAGTGCAGCCCCAGCTCCAGGGGAGCAGCAGCCAGGGCACCTTGCATAGCATCCCTCCAGGTATGAGGTGCAAATGCAGCAGGTTTGGGCCTTGATGCTTCTCCTCCAGCTGAGTACAGGGTTTGGTATTCACCTCCTTCCTCTCAGGTTCCACTAGGCAAGAGATGGGAGACAGCAATGGATGGACCATCTTTCCACTGGACACAGGCACAGAAGACCTTCCACCAAGGTCAAAAGCAAGCTTCCTGGAGAGAAAGACTGTTTGCAACACATGGTCTTTGCTACAAGCTTCTCTTCATTTACTAGCTAGTTTTCTTTGCTGGTGTCTGGCCAACTTGATTCATAACTCTTCCCAAAACCTGATATTCTCTTGCTTGTTGTATCAACTTGCTTACTTAATGCATTCAGAAGGAGGAGAGGCCCTGCAGAGGCATCACTGTGCAGTGCAGATGTAGGTTTGCTCCCCAGGAAGGCTCTCTTTGACCTACTGGGAGACCATGGGTAAATCACTTGGTTCTTCTGTGTCAAAGACTCCTGTGCATTAAAAGAAGAGATAGCTATTTGCCTGCTCTTGTTCTGTCTTCCACGCTGTTAGAGAAAAAACTTGTGGAGATAGATGGATGGACTACATCCCTCTAGAGGAGGGAGCTCCTCTAGATTCCCAGCAAGTGTGACTGGTCCCAGCAGATCTATCCCTGCTGTGGACACTGCTGCCTGAGCCTATTACCACAACTCCCCACAGAAAAAGCATTTTTAGGACTTGACCCTGTTTGATTCATCTTCATGAGGATGAAACAATTTACATGCCCTGTAAGTGCTACTTGCTGCTCATGAAGTCCAGGACATGTTGGTGACATTAGGTGTCTCCACTGCAGAGCCTGAGACGTGGTCAGACAACTCATGCTGGCCGTGGCAGCTGCAGTTAGCATGCACAGATGGTGTGACTCCAGTGAGTGAAAGAGCTGACTTTCCCCAGTCATCTCTCTGTGTGTAATTCCTCTTAAGGCAGAAGGCCTTGCCTTGGCTGGTTATGGCATCACTGTGCAATGAACATGAGTCACTGCTGTAACAGGCTGAATTACGACTCCTTGCTTGCTGAGTTTAAAACAGAGGAAGGCAGCTTAAGCAAATGGAAGGGCCTAAGCATGTGAAAAATGTTCCCTTTTCAAAACTGCCATTAGCCAATTGGAAATCTCTGTATTTGGGTTGCAAGTCTATGCCAAGTCTCTGTCTGAGGCTCAGTTCAAACACTCAGGCTATATAATCCCTTCCAGTCTGGGCTCATAATGGAAATGCCAACAGACCGTTAAGCACAGCAGTATTGCCAGGTTTTGCTATAATTAAACACACACAGGAAAAGGTATAAATAACCAGGTTAAATTAAGGCAGGGGGCTGTTACTGAAGGGATCTCCGGGAAAGCCTGCAACCTGGTTGAGTCTGACTGGTTCAGGGGTGGTCGACAGGGGACTTGGGATTTGTGCCTGGCTCAGGTGAACCCTCTCTAGCACATGCTGTGTATTAAAGTGAAGTCAGCTGGCAACAATCCCCTGCAGAGCAGGATGTTGCAGCCCCCAGGTCTGCCCTTGAGGAGCAGCTAAACCTTGTCTTACAGAAAGCCAGGTGAGAGGGAAAATGGGAGCCTTGCTGCCTTCTGAGTCACACTTGACCTTGCTGGGTTTATTTGCCCTGTTGGGGGCCCTTGTTTGTTGTCTGCCACCTTGTCCTCATTTCCACAACAACCAGATGAAGTGGCCTGAGGAAATGATGATGCAGGAGCCATAGATAGAAAAAGTTAAATATATAGCAAAGAAAGAGTGGCAGAAGAGGCAGAGACTTCCCTCTGGGATGTTGGTTCCTGCAGACCACTCGGTCCACAGCCTGCAGGTCTCCCAGGGGAAGCACCTCCCTGCAGCATGCAGGCATCGCAAAGCAGCCAGTGGAGACATGGCAGGTTCCGCTCTCTCCTCTGCAGATTGTTCCCACTGTGACATCCCAGCTGTCTGGCAATAAACCCTCCTGCATGTAAATGCTGGGGAAAGGGGGAACACCCCCAAAGAGGACACTGGCCTAGGTGTGCCAGCAGACAAGTGAAGCTAGAAAAAAGGCAGATTCACAAGAGAAACACTCCCAAGCCAGCCTTTTTCCTTCTGATGATGTGTGTAACACCACAGGAATGCTCTCAGGGAAGGCAGCGTAGGCTGCAGGATGCACCAATGCCACTGCACAGTCCCATCCTCACTTGGGGCAGCAGTGCTAGGTCCTGAGCTTTTCAGCAGAATTAGCTGCACACACACATCCCTCATGGTTTTCCTCTTGTGACTCTAACTCAGTTTGAATGAGTTTTCTGGGCCAACTCTTCTAAATTTGTATCAGTATCCAGGGAGCATTAGTAAATAGCACAGTAAATATTTGGTTTTGATATTTGTCTTTCAAAAAGACAATGAGGCAGCAGCCACGCACAAGGACACAGCCACGGGTGCGACCTCAGGCGATTGCAGAGCTCACCCGGCATCCGAAAACTGAGGCTCGTTTTTCTGTCTAAAGAAATAGCTTCACTGGGATTAATGTGACAAAGACCCCCTCCACTGAAACCAGGTCCATGCATGTTCTAGCACATACACACTATTGTGTATGGTCATATATCTTTCTGACCAGAGTCGTCATGCACCAAATCTTGCACTTTCCAAAAAAAGAAAAAGCTCATTTCCAGCCTGCAAGACCAACTCTGACCTCAGCCTGTGCTTCCCCAGCTGAGCTAATAACACTCCCAACCCCCAAAATATGGAGGCAGCTCAGAATGGAAATGTTAAAGAGCCGTAATTCCAGAGGATGTGAATGGCTAATTCTGTACATTCAGATGAAACAGAGGGGAAATATACTGAATGGAGCCCATGTATAAGATCATATGAAATGTAAAAAGACTTGTTGTTCAGCGCACACACTGCCTCTTCAATCTAGTTCTGTTTAAATGCCCATTCTTTTCGTTTGGCATCTCCTTGTCCCTCGATGGCTGAATCAAAAGAGGAACGAAATAATGACACAAAGATTTTTAAAAACTCAGCTCCAGCTGCAGCAGGGAGAAGCCTGAAGCGAAACGTGAGAGCGTACGGCTCTTTGTTAAGGCTTCCTTGGCTATAGAATATGGTATATGAAACGCCTGGCGGATCCCATTTGGTCCTATGGAGGGAGAGCTCTTAAGGTGGCTCTCTTGGATTTGTGGAGGATTGCGGGAAGGCTTCCCCACATTTGCAGGCAGCAAACGTCCCACCTGCAGAGACCCTAGGGCCCAGATGGTTTCCCCTCCCAGCACCCCGGGGGCCCAGGGCACTCTCTCCCCTGACAGTGGGTGGTCCAGCGTCTTTTTTTGTCTTTTTCTTCATTGTAGCTGCCACTTTACATCGGGAAACCAAACTCAGCACTTCTTGTTGGGAGATGGTTCCAATTTATACAGATTTCTAAGAAATAAATACGTTTTATTCCGTGCCTCTAAGGTATTTTTGCATGCCCACCTGGCAGAGCCACACGTACAACTGCTATAAAAGGTTGGTGCCAATGGAGAGCAGCTCACAGTCCCCAGCCACAGCCTTTCCTAAACTCTGCATCTGGAAGTTGGTGGAACAGTTGATGCCTGCCTGATGACTGCAGGGACCCCAGTGTCACCAGCAGGGCTGGGACCGAGCTGGGGCAAGGCTGCCTGTCACCTCCATATCTCCAGCACCCACAGGAATGTTCGGCAGGTCCTGCACCAGATGCCTCACCATGGCCTCCTTGCAAATGCTGCATATGCCTTCTGGGACAGGGCATCACCCAGAGCATCCACTTCTGGAAAGGAAAACCACCATTGCCTCAGCTCTCTGGCTGAGGAGAAACCAGGGAGATATGGTGTGGTGCAGAGGAGGAGGCTCCCGAGGGTGGGGCCAGCTCTCCCCACCGCCACTTAGTCTCTTGGCCAGTGCCATGAACAGCAACACCAAAAAACATCCAGTAAGTGCTGTGGTGACCGGCTCCCCACAGCTGAGAAACTTGGAGCCATATTGCTTAATCTAAACAAATGTTCAGGGAACATCAACAATAATTCATTTTCCGTGGGCTGAATACTTTTCCCCTCCGAGGCTCTTCCAGCAGCTGTGGCTGATTTCTGCTTATGCCCAGCATGCCTTCCCCAGGACCCCCCACCTTCATGGTCACCACGGTGGTTCTCAGCATGCCCACTCACAGACACCAGCCCGTGGCACACGCTGGAAGTGGGCTCTTTCCAGGCGTTCCCTGGGGGAAAACCCAGTGATGCTGGCATGCCCTGAGCTAGCATCAGCACTGAAGGCCCAGTATGCAACCTGTGCACGTGGACAGGTATGAAAATCATTCATCAGCATTGAAGGATTCTCTGTGTTGTGTGTTACTTGGGAAGTGGAGTCTCTGTATGTTGTGCCTACCCCATCTCACTCACAGCTGCTGGCACCACAGGGACAGTACAAGCAGATGCCATGCCCGGACAGCAGCAAGACACTTCCCTGCTGTGGGACACTTCCCTGCTGCAAGTCTGCCCTGCTCAGCTCTTTGCCTGACACGAGAATCCTTGCAAACCACCAGGGAGAGATTTCCAAAGGCATTTGGTCACCTGAGTGTCCTTGGCTATCTTTGTTGAATCCCTGAGAGGAAGGGCGCCATGACCACGGCTGCCTGCTGCCAGGGCTGTGCCCCAGCCACGTGTGCTGCCGGCACATCAGGAGACACATCACCTGCCTGTCCCGGGGGCTCGTAAGGAGGAGCACGTTCCTCCACAGCCACTGAAGCCACCTCATGACGCTTGCTCGCGTGGCTGCCAGAAGGCTGTCATAGTGCAGGGGAGGACAGCCAGAGTGGCCATGTGATCCCCTTGCTGCTATTCCTGGTGCCCCGCGAGGCTGGAGGACTGTCACACGGAGTGAGGATCACCCGGCTGTAGCGTACAAACCAGGTGAGTCCAGCTGTGGTGACAGCAAATTCCTAATTAGTTCATTGCATCAGACGGCCAAACACTCAGAGTCATTACCCAAGGATGGCCTACGTGCCCGGCAGGACGTACTCCCCTGATCCCTGCTTCCCAAAACAGGACTGGGAGAGCCAGACAAGCTCACCCTGGAAAAGGGACGTGCTGTGTGGTGTGCCCGGCAGGCCAACAAGCTCCAGGTCCCGCAAACCACACGGGGAAAACCCAGCGAGACAAAGTGCCAGGCACGCAGCAAATGGCCCGAGTGTGGCTGTCCTACCCGGCGAGGTCTCATCCTGCCCCGTGCATGGCTGTGCAGTGGGTGTCCCCCACAGCCACAGGGCCTGAGCACAGGATGGTGGCTTGCACACCAGCTCCCCCATCCTGCTCTCCTCCCCCTGAGGCTGCAGGCAAGCATTATCCCCTCCTTTCCAACCGCTGCCTGAGGACAGGGATCTGGGCATGCATTTGGATGCCCCTCAGCAAAATGGTACCAGGCAAGCTCCCTGTGTGCTGCCTGGCAGGTTTGCAGAGAGATCCTCTCCCCGTGAGCTCGGCTGCACACTGTGTGAGTGCCGGATGGTGGTAGGAGCCCTGCCACACACCCACTCCCTGCAGCACCACAGAGCAGTGGCACTGCTGCCTCAGAGGTAGCACAAGCAGGTTTGGCAGGGATTTATGTATCTTGGAGTAGCTTTCCCTGTGGTGGTAGCTGGAACTGATTCTGAATACTTAGCTGGTTTAATATGAAAACAAAAATCCCTGGATTGACAGCTTGTCCCTGCAAGGCACCATTTGAGTTCCTGGCAGTCAAGCAGTGAGAACTAATGCTGGTCATAGGGTGGAGGTAAGAAACTGCAGGCCCAGCTGAGCAGCTGGGCTCTGCTCCATGCTTCATCTGGAGTTTAGATGCTCTTCTTTCCTTGAACCAAGTTAACACAGGGTGGCAAGGTGTGCCCTCGTCCTCGCTGGGCTTGAGCCCCATCAAGGCCTGTGATGCCAGTGCTTGGAGGTGTTGCAAAGTGCAAAACTAGGCAGGGACCTCGGGCCCACCACAATGTGGAAGCATCTATGTCACTACAGGCTCTCCTTACTGCACTACAAGCTGCATCCCCTCACAGCCCCAGGGGCACCTCACTCCACTGGATGGAGAGTTCTCTTGCCTACTCTCTGGATGAAGGATCATGCAGGATCCAGGATGTCACTGAAGCACAGACACCCTTAGAGTAACCACCTCCCAGCACACAGCAATCCTACCTAACTGGTCAGGCAACAGGTGATGAAAAGCCCTGTGTCCTGCTGAAACCACTTTAGGTCAGGCATTTAGGGATCATCCAGGCTAGAGCAGGACCAAAGTGCCTGAACTGGTGCCCAAACAGTTCCAAGGGCACCACCAGATCAGCATGGCATCATTCCTGGGGCACAGCTGGCCATGCTGAAGAGGTCAGTGCTGCAGCACCATCCTTGCCCATCCCCTAAGTAACATGGGTGCTACTGAAAGCCACTGAAAGCACTGTGGTGGCATTTTCTGTGGGGTCCCTGGCCCCATACCTCAGGACAGTTCTGCTCCTGCCTAGTGGCATGGGGGTGACACATGGGTGAGTACCCACCCCCAGCAGGAACTGGGTCAATGTGCTATTTGGAAAAGCCAGGTTAGACCTTCTCTCATGGAGAAGCGCCTCTCTCAGAGTCTCATCCAGAGCTCCCCACCAGTAGCTCTGCACCTCCAACGCTCCCCAGAAGGAAATCTCACCAATGCAGGCAGACAAAGCTGCCTCTGAAGGAAATTTCATTTGCCGTGTGACAGAATGGGCAGGGTGGATATGAAAGCAGCGATTGCCCCAGCTCACTCCCTGCTGGGAACAGCAAGAGCTGGTTCGTGGTGCATTGCAGACATGATCCACACCCGCCCCGGGGGGAGAGGGAAGCTGTAGGGCTGTGCTCAGTCACTTCTTCCGCTCAGTCACCGGTCCCACAGCTGTGCCAGCGAAGCTATTGTCCTGGTCCCTAAAGTGGGAAATCCCAGATCCAGCTGGAAACGACCAACACATACAGTCCCAGGTGAGCCTCGGAGGCCCCAGAAACGAACAAAAAAAAAAAAAAAAAAGGGGGGCTTTTCCTCTCCTTATATCAAAGCACCAAGCAGACCTCACTTCCTGCCTCTGCCACCAAATACCAGGGAGTTACTCAGCTTCTTCTCCTGGCTTTCCCCACCGAAGGGGATCTCTGATGCAAGTGGTGGATCATTGGAGAGCAGGATGTGGGGCTGTGAACATGCCCCAGGGCATAAAGAAGCTGCAGAAGAAGAGGATGCCCCGGCACTGCCCTGCGAGGCCGGGCATGGAAAGGGGCAGCAGGGAGTCTGTAGACAGCACGAGGCGGCTGTGCCCCGCAAAGCCCAGCCTGCTCCCAGCACCCGCACCCTGGGAGTGCCAACAGGGCACCGAGGGACAGTGGAGAGTGGCGCAGGGCCACGCTAGGGCCCGGAGTCACGGTGGCAGGCCGGGGTAAAACCTGCGCGGTCCCGCTCGCCCCGGGGCGCGGGCAGCCGGGCGGGGGCGGCGGTGCCGGTGCCGGATCCGGATCCGGATCCATCTCCTCGAGGACACCTTAACGGCGGTGCCCGCGGGCGCCTCCCGCCGCCCGCCCCGCTCGGCTCCCGCCGCTCCTCGCGGGGAAGCAGCTGACTCGGGGCGGCTGCCAGCGCTGCTGGCTGCTGGATCCGGCCGCGGCAACGTGCAGCCCGACATGTAAACCGGGCAGGCCTATGCTAATGGCGGGGGGAGGGTGCCTGGCGCAGGGGCGAGGGGGACGGAGGTGGAGGCCGGAGCACAGCCAGAAAATTCCCCCCCTCCCTCCGCCCCCCCTCTTCTCTATCACCACCTCCCCGCATCCATCTGCCTCCCCTCCTCCTCCTCCATTCATAAAATCGGGCGGCACTGCCACCTACCGTAGCGTGCG